ATGTTTCAATTTTATACCATATTTGTCCGTTTGTTTTCATTTAAATTTAAACACTGACTCTTCATTTACTATATTTCTTAAAATGTAATAACAAATTCGTGTTCAATTTTTAAAATATACATATACAGAGAGGAACTGAGATAAATATTTTAAAAGAATATGGACAAAAATTAATAAAATTTAAAGTATAAAGACTAAATAAAAAACTTCAACTAAAAAATCTATATATATATTTATATTATTTTAAGCTATATTTATATATAACATAGTAACAATAATAATATTGCACAATCATTTCTTTTATTTTAATCACGTTCCGAATGATTAAAATTATTGTCGCATGAAAATATTGAAATATATAAAGGAAAAATAATTATTAATTTAAATATGTATGAAAATTAATATATAGTATACATGAATAATTGCGGAAAAATGATTTATAGTTCCTAGACATGAAATGCTGTGAGAAAAATAAAATAAAAATTACAAAAAATAGATAAATTAAAATAAAGTTAAAAAAGCAATGAACAGCTCAAATAAAAGGAAACATGAAAAGAATTAAGAGATGAAATACAATTGGCAATAAAAAGTATGAGAAATTTTGGGTAAAAATAAACATAAATATAGATAATATATTAAAAAAAAATCCGGAAATCTTTTGCCAGATAATAGATTACTATTAATTATAATCTTAGTATATAATTAATGACACGATTAATTACTTTAAATTGTCGATGATTATTAGGAAATAAATTAATTAATTAAAATAATATTATCAATGATGATCGAGCTAGGAAAAAATAAATTAATTACTTTAAATTGTCGATGTTTTTAAATGAATGTTTATCCTTTTGCGTATCTTAAATTTTGTTATATAAAAAAGGAATATAATCTAACAAAAAAAAATAATAAATTAATTAAAAATTGTGCATAATTTGTTATTTTATAATAAGTATTTTTTTTTTTTTTACATACAATTTTAGATTTATTTTTTTATTAAATAATTTATTTAATTAATTAAGTTTGCTAACCTTTATTTATATAAATCATGTAGAATAAAAAGGGAATTACAATAAAATTAAAACTTTTTTGGCAAAGTAAAAACCAACACAACATTATGAAGATCAAACCCTAAATTAAAGCCTGAGAGTTAAATCAACTTCATCGCTGTCTTCTACATGGTGATCCATTTTTAACACGAGCGACTCTGAAAGATTCAAATTCGGAACTAAAATTGGTCTATCTTCATCAAATCGTCTTATCGATTCTGCATTCATTGCCGTTGATAATCGAAATCCACCGTTATGAATTTGAATTCCCTCCATTTTCAGCCTTTCAAATGTCGATAATTTTGAATTATTGTTATTGTTAGTCACCATCACTGGTCGAGAAGCCCAACCACTATCTACTCCGCCATGAAACTGCAATGCTGGTGACCCGAGCCATCGGTACGACGATGGTTTGTGAATCATTGAATCCATTCGTATTCCAAGTGATTTTCCGAGCGACGATCCGTAGAGTGGATGAGGTGAGAGGGTAGAATATGGATTATAGTACGACGTCAAGTATGGCGGCCCGACTACATTGTTGCCGCTACCGAGTTCCATTCCTTGGCGGCGCTTGGCCATGGCTCGTTCTTGCTTGTGTGCATTTTGGTGGCCACCTAGGGCTTGGGATGTGGAAAATTCCCTCTTACAAAAGTTGCATGAAAAAACCCTAGCTTTTGAATTTGAGGATAATTCATTTGCATGACCTTGAGAGGAAGAAGAATCCACCGTCGCCGCCGCCGCTGGTGACGACGACGACACTATCCTCTTGGAATTCAAAATCTCCGGCGAGCCATCGCCGGACTCTTCATTGTTAGAAAGCTTAAGATCCAACAGCAGCCGTGAGTTCGACTCCTGCAACTGCCGATCACCACCATTGATTTCATCGGCAACGATCATCTCCATCTTCATCGTCACCGGGCTGCCACCTCCGCCGTCGGACGCGGCGGAGATACTAGAAGCTTCAGAAGGGGAATTATGATTATCCTTACCAGTTTCCGCCATTGCCGACCAAAAAAAACTTTCAAAAAAGATCTTTTTTTTTTTCCTCTCTCTCAAATTTGTGACAGAAATTGAAAGGAAGGAATTGGGTTTATATTTGTGGTTGAAATTAATGTAATGGATTTGCAATTAAGGTAAGAAATCTCGAGTCGCAATAATTACCATGAAAATTATATATATATATATATCTATATGTGTGTTTTTTATTTTTAATTTTAAAATTATTTGTTCTTGAAAAGCTATGGAGCTGAGATGAATTATTATATGAAAGTTTGAAACTCTTCAATTAAAAAAAAAAAAAAAAAAAAAAAAAAAAA